TCCAGGTGTTGGGGGTGCCGGCGGAGGCGTATCGCTACGGAGCCAAATTCCTCTGGATGTGCGTGGGGCAGCTGCTCAACACCCTGCTCACCGCCCAGCTCTTCCTCCCCATCTTCTACCGCCTGGGGCTCACCAGCACCTACGAGGTGGGCACGGCAGGGGGACGCATCCTGTCCCGGAGCTGCTCCCTGGGGTACTGCAATGCTGGGACGGCCCCAATGCCAGGGGGACCACGATGCCAGGACAGCCCCAACACACTCCCTTGTCCTTGTCCCCAGTCCCCGGAGCGCCGGTTCCGCAGGAGCGTGCGGGCACCGTGCAGTACGTGGTGGCCACGGTGCGTGCCCGCCGTGCAGGAGTGGGATGGGGATGGTGGGGCAACGCGGTGGGGGTTCTGATCCGGCCGTGCCCTGAGCCCCTGGGAAGCAGCCTTGTTCCCATGCTCATGTTTACCACGGCCCAAAGCAAACAGCACCCGGCGGGAGCCCTGTTATGAGTGCAAACCCCAGTGTTTTTGCTGTGCCCGCACATCGATGGGACCGGGCGCTGACCCCCCTCTTCCCGCAGATGCTGTACACGGGGATCGTCATCTACGCCCCTGCCCTCATCCTCAACCAAGGTGTGGTGGGGACATGGGGGCAGTCACATCCCCGTCCCTGCAGTGGGAACGTCGCGGCCCTGTTTCCCCTGTTTGCATCCTAGGGCTCTGCTCAGTGCCTTCCCTTCTCCTCCAGTGACTGGCCTGGACATTTGGGCGTCCCTGCTCTCCACCGGCATCATCTGCACCTTCTACACCACCATCGTGAGTGTGGGATGGGGGTCCCAGGGGTTTTGGGGGTCCCAGGGGTCTCCAGTGCTCACCCACAGCCCCATCTGGCGCAGGGCGGGATGAAGGCTGTCATCTGGACCGACGTCTTCCAGGTCCTCGTCATGCTCTCCGGCTTCATGGCCATCATCATCCAGGGGGTGCTGCTGGTGGGGTCCCGCCAGGGTGCGGGCCATCCCCGCCAATGGCTCCCGGCTGAACCTGGGCGAGTGAGTGCCCCCTCCATCACCATACCATGCCCTGACCCCGCTCCCCCTGCCGCAGGGTGCTGTGGGGGTTGGTGCCAAATCCTCCCAGTCCTGGCCACGTCCTGTCGTGCCCAGCTTCAACCCAGACCCGCGGAGCCGGTACACAGTGTGGACCTTCCTGCTGGGTGGGACGCTGGTCTGGCTCTCCATGTACGGTGTCAACCAGGCCCAGGTCCAGCGCTACGTGGCCTGCAGGACTGAGCGGGAGGCCCGGCTGTGAGTTCATGGGGAGTGCATGGGTCCCACTCAGCATGGGACGGTGCACAGGGCCTGAAGGGGATGGCTTGGGGCAGGGGGAGTGGCTGCAGACCACCCTGTGTACCCCTGTATGGGCCCAGCATCCTTGCATGGACCCTGTACCCCTGCACGGACCTTGCATGGACCCTGTACCCCTGCACGGGCTTCGCATGGACCTTGCACCCCTGCACAGCCCCTGCGCCCTCGCATGGACCCTGCATGAACCCTGCACCCTTGCTTGGACTTTACACAGACCCTGCACCTTTGCATGGACCCCTGCACAGCCCCTGCACCCCTGCATGGACTTGCACCCCTGCACAGCCCCCTGCACGGCCCCTGTGCCCCTTGCAAGGCCCCTGCCCCAACACAGCCACCCCTCAGTGCCCCCGTGCTTGCAGGGCGCTGCTGGTGAATCAAGTGGGGCTCTTCTGCATCGTCTCCAGCGCGGTGGCCTGTGGCCTTGTGATGTTTGCACTCTACAAGGACTGCGATCCCCTCCTCGCTGGGTACATCTCGGCCCCAGACCAGGTACCGCCTCCTCCAGTCTCTGCCCTCTCGAGCAACAAATTTGGGGCAGCGAGGTGGAAGGATGAGAAAATCAGAGGGGATGGACCCCCCGGGTCCTCATCTCAGCCCCACTGTGGGGGCTGGGGGCCCCTCGGGGGCCTGCTCCCCCCAAAACAGCCACTTCCCCCCAGTACATGCCCTACCTGGTCCTGGACATCTTTGAGACATCCCCAGGGGTGCCAGGGCTGTTCCTGGCCTGCGCCTACAGCGGGACCCTCAGGTGAGGATGGGGCACCCCTCACCCCAAGGGGACCCCAAAACTCACTTTGCAAGGGGGCTTCACCCCCTCCCCAGCACCGGGGCTGAGCACTGACACCTGCCCCCCCCCACTTCCCCCCACAGCACGGCCTCCACCAGCATCAACGCCATGGCCGCTGTCACTGTTGAGGACATCGTCAAGCCCCGGCTGCCCACGCTGTCACCACAGAGGCTGACCCTCGTCTCCAAGGGGCTGTGTGAGTGGGGATGGGGGCTGTGCCATCTCATGCCACACTGCACCATGCCGTGCCATGCCCCATCCCAAGCTGCATGGGACTGTTTTGTACCGTGCCATGGTGCTGTGCTGTGCTATCTCATCTGGTGTCACACCATGCTGTGCCACGCTGAGCTGTGCCACACCGCGCCGTGCTGCAGTGCACTGTGCCGTGCTGTGCTGCAGTGCACTGTGCCACACCGTGCTGCTGAGCCTCTCCGGTCCCCCCTGCAGCGCTCATCTACGGCATCTCGTGCATCACGGTGGCAGCCCTGGCGTCGCTGCTGGGTGGTGAGGTGCTGCAGGTGAGCCCTGGTGCATAGCGTCACATCCAGCACGGGGCTGTGCTGGCCCCGCTGCCCCCCCCAGCCCTCACCCTCTGGCCCTGCCTGGCTGAGCAGGACCTGGCCACGCTTTGCTGGGTGCCCGAGGGCCCTTGAACCGGCTGGGCTGCAGTGGCTGGGGGGAGCTGGGGCAAAGCCAAG